GGGCGGCCATTGAAGGTGAAGTAGAGGGAGGGGATTAGGGTTTCAGGGGTTTGGGGGAGGTAGAGGTGCTTGAGGTGGTCGAGGGTTAGAGAGGGGGTTAGGGTTACGGTTAGGGATTTGATCGGGAGGTTGAGGTCGGGGGATTGGATGAAGAGTTGGAGGGGTTTAGGAGATCGGGACTCCATCGCTAGGGTTAGGGTTTTGATCGAATTTATTTTGGGGGATCGATCGAAGAAGATGAAGAGAAACGAAACAACCAGCGAAATAAAAAGAGGAGTTTTTTATTTTTATTTTTTATTTTGACGAGCTCGGCGACGAACCGACAAAAGGGAATGCGAGGACGATATCGGATCAAGTGGGCTGGTAACGGGTCGGATCTCACCATCTTTATGTTTTGGGCTTTTTAAAAGTTTGCCTACCAAATATATCCTATGTGTATATTTTCCCTCCAAATGTTAATTTTTTGTAACGGGTCGCAATTTCTTTGACGTTAAAGATAATATTGATCTAGTATTTAACATCGCTAATTTAAAACTAAGAAGGGATAAGATGACCAACATATCTCACTATCTTGCCCAACAAAATTTGGTCTTTTTATTTATATGCATTACAAGTCAATTCCATTTGCAGATTTACAAATTTGTATGTTTGTTAATATATCCGTACAGATTTTAACACAATTAAATCATATATGAGATGGTACAAAGGTGCAACGCGAAAGAACGTGGGGATAAATTAGCAAGTATATTTTTAAGAGATAGATATACAAACATAATATAGTTCTGCAGTACATAGGCAAAAAAAAAAAACTCTTAATTTTGTTTCTTCATATTTACTGATCAAACCGGTCTAAAAATCCGAAACCCAACCCGAAAGTTAAAAGGCTGTTTATATAGATCTCCTCCCATAAAAGTAAGTTTACACGTCAGCATTCTTAATATCATTTCAAAAAATAACCGTAGAAGTTAAAAACATGATGTAGCGAGAAAAAAAATATGTCGTGGTTTGCATGGTGTTCACACTAGTAAAACATAAATCTAGAAATAGAAAGTAAAGAGAGAATAAGATTGCCCACTTTTGTTAGCTTACTTAATGTTTTTCTTAATTCCAAGCATGACATTGACAATTTGTTGTCAAACATGAATTGTTGGAATAAGATGATATTGAGAAGGAATATCATATGAAATAATAGAAGCTAAAAACCCGTCGGCAATAATTTAGATAAACCCGCGCGATGATAATTAAGGAGAAGCACATAGGACAGAGAAATTAAAGAACAAATACAATTGCAATTACAGTTCACCAAAGACAACTGCAACTGCATTTCTTGTTTCGCTCCAGCTAAAACCTTTTATAATAATGAGCATTAATTTCAAATTAAACTTTGATCAATTCGATCATTCATCCTTATCAGGAAAAAAGAAAAATCCTTTGCAGCTCAACTTCAAAACGAAACTGAACTTATACCTAAACATTATGCTTGCAGTTTTCTAAGGAACAAATATTTCATCTCTTTCCTCTAGCGAGAAAGAAACTTCAACAGAATGCAGAATGGTCTGGATTATATCACATACTCTTGTATACCATTAGTAGCAATCTTTTTCATCTTCATAATTTTTCTTCTTCCCTCAAACCAGACCGCCACCAGATCCGGAGGAGGAGATGTTTGTAGGGTCGGACTTAGCGTCTGGCACGCGCGTCACCTCTCAGCAGTAGATGTGAGAAATAAATCCCCATCCTCAACCGCGAGAGTGGCGCCTTCCTTCACAGGTTTACGTGGCTCGAGGGCGACGACATTGGCAAGGTACCTTCATATATATGGAACTTGCTCGTCAGTCATAACAGGGTGGACGAGGAGGGGCACCCCAAGGCCATCCATTACACGATGGGCGGACCATGGTTTGACAATTATAAGGATTGCGAGATTGCCGATATGTGGTTGAGGAAGTTGGAGGAGATGGAGGAGGAGAAGGAGAAGGAGGAGGAGAAGGCTAATGATCAAGAATAGGTGGTTATTTTACTGGATTGGATGTTGTTTTATATGTTCGTATTGCCTGATGCTGATTGTTGGATGTGTTGGTTCTATTTGTTGTTATGTCATTGCTGGAGATGATTACTATATGATTTATGGTATCTATGTAGAGTTATTGATCATCGGTTTATAATAAATTTGATTTGATTACAATTGTCTGCATTGTTTGAACTTTTTTCTTTTTTTTTCTTTTTTTGTTTTTTGTTTTGTTGAATTGCTTAGATATGGGTTAATGTAAGGAAAAGGTGTGGCTCAGTTTGCAAATATTATGAATTAAAGATTAAAAAAAATTATGTTTTGGGTTTCCATTTATGTGTTTCTAGATGAGCATCTACATCTGTTGCATCCTCCATGTACATTTTTGTTTGCCTTGAGACTCATCTATACCACCACTAGTTTATTTCTCACATTTAAATGTGAAATACATCACAATAAAAAATATGTGATGTTCGATAACTCACAAATATCAGATAAACCATAGTATAGTCATAAATAACAAAGAACTGTAACGTCTAATGACTATGTATCACATTTAATAAATAAGTGTCACATGAAACAAGTAAAAGACACATAAAATAATTATATGTCACAATTAATGAATCATGTCGCAACAAATAAGTAAAGTCACAGAACATGACTATGTATCATATCATAACTAACAAATAAGCGTCATGTGAAATAAGTTAAAGTCACAGAAAATGACAATGCGTCATAGTTAACTTATAAGTGTCACAGAATACAAGAAAAAGTTACATAAATTGACTATACATTGCAGTGAAGGAATAAGTATCACAGGAAATTAAAAAAGCCTTAGAAAATGGATATGTATCACAACCAACATATAAGTATCACATGAAATAAGAAAAGTCATAGAAAACTACCACGTACCGCAGTTAAGGAATAAGTGTCACAATATATTAAAACATATCACATATACTGAATAACTATCACGGAAAATGCAACTATCTCACATGAAATTCATTTTTACAAAGTTTGTCACGTTTAGTGACATATCTGTGATCATAATATGTATAAAAAGTTCAAATATTTTTATACATTTTTTTAATGTTTTTGGTCATCTGTGGAGCAATGTTCCTTATGAAATTATAATAAGATTTGATGCTTGTGAGGCAATGAAAAGTGAATTTCATTCTTTTTTTTCTTTTGTGAAGACGAAGAAAAGGAACAAGAAACAATTTTTCTTTGTAGAACAAGACTTCTTAGCAATCAACACTCTACCAATGAATTTGACTTGCTGATATTTTTATGTCCGTTGATGTCTTCTTCATTGTGGTGACTAATGACGACAACTCCTCGATGACGCCACCACTAACTTTCAAATTGAACATTTCAAAAAGAAAAAGAAAATAAATATTGAATCTCATTAGATTTCCCGTATTACGCTCACCATACAGCAAATCTTCATCATAACATATTAAAAATCAAACCTTCTGTTCTATTCTTCATCAGTTTGTATCTCAAGTTCATACTCCAAGCAAAAACATAGCTTAATCAACACAAAACCACTAAGATCACAATTATACAATCCCACATTACTCAAAACTCTCAAAAACAACATCTAAAACCCTAAAACACAAAGTCCGCCCATAAATAGCGATCTATATCTCCCTCTTCAAAACCACCTAACCTCTCAATCCACGTGGACGCCCATTCCTACATGGCCTACCTCCGTGATTCCCGACCTCCGCCAGCACTGTGAATTTCTCCTCCGTCGATGCTTCTAGAAGCTCCTAATCTGACCCTTGACCCGTGGGGCCGTCGGTGTTGCCGCTTAGCCGTCTTGAAGCCCATCCTCGCTCGATCTCTTGCCGGAGACCTCACGTGTTAACCTTCATTCTTTAAAACTTTGAACCTCACATGTTATCTTTAAACCTCATGTCAATTTTAATTGTTAGACGTTAACTATAAGGTTTAGATGTTAACTTTACTTGTTAAACCTTGGTGTGACTTCAGAAAAATGATTATTTTAATCAAAGAATACAACTTTAAGAGATGAGGTGACGATTATGGAAGAACCAAAAAATAAAAACAAAGGAAGAAAGAGAAGGATGAAAGTAGAATGGAAGAGGAGGAAGGAGAAGAAATTAAGATGACTAGAGATGGGTTAGAGGAGAGAACATGGAGGTGGATGAGCAGACGAGGAAGGATGTGAGAAGCAAGAAACGAGGGACGAAGATAGAATAAGGATGGAGGAAAGAGGAGGGAGGAGAATGAAGTTGGATGAAGGAGTGAAGAGGGAGAGTAGAAAAGAGAGGAAAGTGGAGGTTGAAGGAGGAGAAGGGTGGAGATAGGGGAGAAGAGAGGAGGTGGAGTGGAGAAAACTAAAAAAATACAAGGGGAGGAAGGAGAAGAGGAGGAAGAAACTAATGGATATTTTAGGTACGTGAGAAAAGTATAGGTCGAGGAGGGGCCTTTTCACATGAAAAATTAGGAACGGACCAAAACACATGGCTGGAAACTCAATAGGCTTGGTCACATAATGATTCTTAATGTGGGGCATAAATACAGTTTTTCCTTAATAATGCAAGCATGATATTGACAATTTGTTGTCAAACATGAATTGTTAGAAAAAGAAGATATGAAAAAGGAATATCATATGAAATAACCCGTTGGCAATACATCTAAATAAATCTGCATGATGATACATCTAAATAAATCTGCACGATGATAAGGAGAGCGCAACGGACAGAGAAAGGAAAGCATCCTCCATCCAAAATCACAAGACAAGGGACTATCTGAAAAACCACAAATACAATTGCAATTACAATTCACCGAAGACAACTTCAACTGCATTTCTTGTTTCACTCCAACTAAAACCTTTTATAATAATGAGTACTGATTTGAAATTAAATTTTAATCAATTTGATCATTCAGCCTTATCAGGAAAAAGAAAAATCCTTTGCAACTCAACTTCAAAACAAAACTAAACTTATAA